TTTTGTTAAACATGATAAAAAAAACATTTGAATGATTCAAAATTTTATATATTCCACAAATTAATTATATTGATAAAATTAAGAATAATGAAATAGTAATCGTAATTTTTTGAAAGTATGTTATAACTATTATAAGTGTAGATTAGTGTAAATGGGCCCTTTATTTAAATAGTTTATAATATCTTATGTCAATCATACACTATATTTTAAACCCTACGTGAAAGAATGGAAATATTTTATACGAAAAATATATATTTTTTAAATTCATACGACAAAATATTTGTATATGGATTTTATTAGCTCTTAAGTATTGATTTTTTAGTTTTTCATTTAAAGGTTTTTTTTTGAAGTTAATAAAAGATATCCTTAGGAAAATAATGATTCTAATTTTTTTTAAATAATTATTTTCAACTGAATTATTATTAAATTAATTCATGACAATATTTTAGTTAAAGTTTTTATTATAAATACAAGAGACACATTAAATATGAATAATAGAGAAAATAGTTGGTTAGCACGTTAAATAGTTTCATTGATAAAAACAAAAGAAGCCCAGTGAATGAGGGAGAGTAATGGACCTATTTGGGCAAAAAGGAATACATCGATAAAAATATTGGGCTAATGACAGGCAAAAGGAATATTTTAAGGGTGCTTTTGGTTCACGGAATATAATATTACTAATGGGAATAGGATTACCGGCGGGAATAAGATTACTGAGAATGTTATATTTTGTGTTTGGTTCGTTTAATAGGAATGTAAGAATACCGTGTTTCGTTAAAGGAATAAAAGATTATTGGAATGTATATTTTACCAAATTGTCCTTATTATATATTATTTTTTTAACAAGTTGAATTCTACAATAATTAATTTATATATTTTCTTTAAAAATTTTAAATTCACAAAATTTATATAATTTTTTTTACAAAATTGAAAAGATAATTAGGTTTAATGAAAGGGTAAAACTTTATTTTAACCCTTGAACTTCATATAAAATTCTAATTATGAACTTTTTTTTGTAAATCTAAAATAGTTTAAGGATAAATTTGTAATTTAACCTTCTAATAATTTTTTTTATTCAACGATAGAAGAAGGATATTTTTGAAAAAAAAATTAAGGGCATTTTAGTTCAAAACGTCGGTAATCAAATAATGCCTAAGGAAAGAGGGGTAATCACATTCCCGATAATATACCCCCAAAATACCACTGTTGGTAATAAAAGATTATCGGGGGTTGAGAATGTTAGCCAACCAAACGGGGGAATGACATTCCATTCCCCCTGTAATCTCACATTACCTGAACCAAACAGCCCCTAAGGGACGATTTGATTCACAAAATGTAGTATTATCTCTTAAAATAAGATTATTAAAATTTAACATTATTTGGTATATTATTAAGAATGTTATATTATTTGGTTTGGTCTGTTTAATCGAAATATACGACTATAATATTTGGTTAGAGCAATATTAGATTGTTAGAACGTATGTTTAATCAAATTATTTTTGCAATATATTTTCCTTTTAAGTTGTTAAATTTTAAAAAAAATATTTATTTTTAAAACATATATTATTTTATTATTTTTAATTTATATATTTTCATAAAATTTAAATTAATAATATATATATATATAATATTGTAAAATTTAAAAAAAATGGGTGAGTAGAATAAAAAGATAAATATATTATACATTCTTTTAATCCTAATAAATATTAATTTTTCACATCATTTATCTAAAAGTAAATTAAAATTACTCTTATTGAAATGTACAGGCGCCACTTTGCTATTTTTTTGAGTTTATTTTTAATTTATTGGTTAAGACTTATTTTTTTGTTAAATAATAATAATAAATTTAATAATTAAATTTTATATTGTTTAAAAATTTTAAAGTGTTCCAGAGTAGTTGTTAAACTTCATATAAACATTTTAACATATTAGAGTGGTGGATTGAAATCCTTTTCCGAGAACATAGAGTATTTATCATAATTTTAATAACATGACGTTTAAAGAATAAACGGATGAATGAATTTAAAATAAGTCTTTTGTTTTAGAGATATTTTATCTAAATTGAAGAGAGAAAATTACGTTCTCGGAAAGACACTCCAATGATAATAACAGCTCGTTATGGCTGTTAACTCCGAAAAGAAAATTAATTTTGTTTGAATCTTCTCTCAATCTTTTTATCTTCTTCTGCAATTTTTGGAGTTCCCAAACGATCCTCTTCTTTGAGCTTAATAACAGCTTATTATGGCTGTTATTTCACTGAATTTACTATCCATCAGAATTTGATCTGAGGAGTTGACAGATTGCAACTTGCGGTCCATAAATGGAAAAAAGGATAGATGTGGTCGGAGTGATGCGTGAAATCGATGACCGTAAACAGGTTCAACGGGCTATCGCTGCTTGTCACGGGAAGGTTATGGGTAAGGATAGGAAGATAAAGTTTGGGTGTAGCTTGATCGGCATGAAGAAAATTCTAGTGTTTTACATCGACCGAGCTCCTAAGGGAAAGTACAACAATTAAGTTATGCACAGGTACCGTGATATTCTCAATTAGTTCGTCGGCACCAAGCACGGACATTCTTTTTCTTTGAACTTGAATATTAAGTCCTAATTTGACTCCAGTTAAGGGTTAAGTAGTTGAAATGTCCATTAGACTTGTTAGTAATTACCATGATTTTTCCATGTTGAAGGATCTTTATACAGTAAGATGCATAGTTAGTATTAATAGCCGCTCATTTACACTGCATTACTGGGCATTCTTGGCTTTAGGCTTTGATGAGTTATTTTTTGTCATTTGGTTGCTATGTACGTTTAGTTCGGCAGACAAGAGAAAATAAAAGGCTAAGAATTCTTTGGCTTATGACAATAATTTTTACTTTACCAGTGAAAACTACTTAATCGATTCTTATGGTACAAGATGATGATAATGAAGCTACAATTCAAGGAATACCGATGTACATTCTATGAAGAAGAGTTATTCTTGTTCAGGATCTTAAAGGCCACAATATTATGTGATGTTAATTGTTTCATTTATCTAGGGTTTTTTTTTATTGTTCTGCATCTGCTTCCACCTTCTTTTACCTTTCCTTTATTTCCATTTTCTCCTCTTAACAATGGGTTCATCGGTCCGGTTTCCTTTTAAAATGGTAAAGAATAGAGTCTGGTTAATCCTCAACATAATTGTTTCACTATATAATTAACTTCTTATCAAATTCAGATTTATTCTATTTGATTATCAGGATAGGATGTACATTCGCAAAAGAAAAGTCTGAAAAATATGTTGGTTGCGTATCCTCAAGGCCGGCTGTATTTTTTGGCCAGGGCGAAATAAAAGAAATAGACCCCTAATTTTAAAAAATTATAAAAAATATATAGTATAAAATTGATATTAAATTTTTATTAAAATAAACAAATAGTAATTATAATTATCATCTCAAAAATATCAAAAAAATATTAAAGCACACAAAAATTTATAGAAAATATTGTCTTCGAGCATTTTTTGATACAAAATCATAACGTCGACATCAATATTTTTCAACATATTTTTTTCATTGCATAACATAGGTAGCTCATTCAATCTTTCTTGTGACATTGTTAACCTCAAGTAATTTTTCAACAATTTCAGCTTAGAAAAGCTTCTCTTAATTTATTATGAGAAAAAAATAATATTTAACTTAGAAAAACAGTTTCATTTCAGAAAACGAACTCGCATGGCCATTCTTGACTATTTTTTGGGTCGAGTTGAAATAAAAAAATAAGCCTCTAATTCAAAAATAAAATAAAATAAAATATGTAATATAAAATTTATATTAATTTTTTTATTAAATTAAACAAACAATAATTTAATACAATGTCAAAAATATATTTAAGTATACAAATACTTATAAAAACATTGCATTCTAGCATATCCTAATGCAGAATCATTGATTTTAGTGTAAAAATATTGTCTCGTGGAAAAACATTTCTTAAATTAAACATCATGTTTAAGCATTTCTTAATCCAATACTTTATTTTGGAGTAAAAAAATCTCTCTATGAAAACCGTTAGTCAACAAATTATCAATGCTCTAAAATACATATTTTATTTCTAAAATGAAACAGTAGGTACCAAAATACTAAACAAAATCAAGTGACTATTTAGTCGAATCTCAGAGGTTTTTTTTTCTTAAAAAACGTTTAATTAAAATGATTCAAAAAAGGATTAAAATGATTATCTAATCAAACGTTAGAGACTTATTTGACATTTACCTTTTCTTTTTCATGGTGATTTGCTGCCAAATGCTTTTTCATTGGATCACATGGGTGATTCCCATATTACAAATAAATTTATCGGATTATATATGCTTGAACAAAATCATCTAATCATTTTAAATGAAATAAAAGATATAATAGTCTATATGCTGATTAAATGGGTTGATGTATATAATTTTCAGTGAGAAAATTAAACATTGATTGAAATTTTCTGAGCCAAAAACATATGTGCTGAGCTGACTGAATATTATATGCCCTGGGCGGGCGCCCCTCCTCCCCCGGCCCAGGGCCGGCCCTGCGTATCATCAACACCTAAGAGATATTGAAACTTTCTTGACTATCTTATGTTGAATCTTGAGTAGTAGTGAATCTCTATTCCGTTGCTACGCCGAAGAAAACTTAATTCCAGATAAACTTGTAAACCATTTTTATTAACCGCTCTTTTAAGGTCTTTTTAATGAGTTAACGATGGGTGAATTAACTTTAAAAATATATTAAGGAAATTAAAAAATTAATCCAGATGTCCAGTGATTATTGTTGGGTCACCAACAGGGGCAGGGGCAGGGGCAGGGGGAGGAGAATTCTACCCTATTAATATAGTTTTAGACTTCAGTTATCCCAAACTTAAACAAAGTTTAAATTTGTTGGATGGCTGGAAATGAAGCAATATTGGCCGGGGGCCATGCACCCCAAATTTAGCCATCTTCAACGCCAATTCTCTCCACCTCTCCTCTATAAAAGAAACCATAATCCACCATTTATTCTCTGAGAAAAAGAAACAAAAACTTTTTCAACAATATCCCCACCACCTCGCCAAATCTTTCCCTTTCTCCGTTTCCTTCCCCTCTCTTAGTAACAGTCGTTTCTCTGCCGGGTCACAAAAACAAATATATATAGCAACAAAAAGAAGAAGAAAAAAGATTAATATATATACATATACACGAGTAAAATCGTTTATTTGTTTGTTATACGGCTTTTGAACGGGTGTTACGTTATAGAGAAGAAGAGTTTGATCATCATGGGGATCCTAGACAAACTTTGGGACGAAACGCTTGCGGGGCCTATGCCAGAAACCGGCCTCGGAAAACTAAGAAAGTATAATTCCTTTTCAGCCACTCGATCATCCCATGCTCCCGTTGATACTAGCAAGGTGATGATAACCAGGAGCATTACTATTCTTAAGAGTAACTCCGGTTTGAAAAACCTATCTGTGGAGCCGGGTTCGGTTCCCGATTCTCCTTCCGGGTCTAGCAATCCTGGGACACCTTTGTCACGTACGTTCCATTTTCATGTTTTTTCTTCCACTAGTCATTATTCTATTCTCCATGTTTAGAAAAAATGTGTTTTAACGGTTGCAGCTGGGACACCATCTGGGGATTTCAGGAGATTTACGAGAAGAAAATCGCCAGCATTCCAACCAGAAGAACCAAGAAGCCCCACTGTTTACGACTGGTTATCTCTAGTTTTCGTTTCCTATTTTGCTTATGAATTCAATTAAACAATTTGTTCTAAATACTGTTTAACTGATTTTGTAGGATTGTGATGAGTGCTTTGGACCGTTAAAGAGAGAAAATTGGCGAGTTTTCTTTCCAAGGATCGACATATGAAAGAAACTTTTTGTACATATATCAAACTTCTGTTGAAGTTTTACGATATACCCTATGCATATATATATATACATTTATGTATTTATAACTAATAATTACGATGATAATTGACAAGAAGAAGAGGATCGGGTGATTTGAGTGAAGAATCGCGAGATCCGTCGAGAAATTATCACTGCAATTCTTGGAGTTTCCGACACAGAGAGAGATGACAGACGTAGGAACTTGTAAGCTTACTTGTTGTGTTTTGAATTTTTACTTTTTCATGTACATATGATTGTGTGTGTTTTACCTTGTCTTGGCTTTTGATCTGTACATACGGATCTCTGTATATTTACACCCTCCTGTAAGGAAACTCGTTATTTTGCAGCTTTGAAATATGTAAAGTACATACAAATTATAACATTTTATTTTATCTCAGTGAATTGTTTATCTGATTCTAAAACAGCAGGCAAATTCGCCTCCCATCAGTAGAAAATAAAAAGCATAAAAGAACAACAGGTGGATTTTCTCACTTGAATATAAATCATGATGATACAGTTGAAGTAAATAACTGGGAAGAACATGTGGAAAGTTCCCTGATTGATGAGATCGCTTTTATTAACTAACTGTTAACGAATACAAAATGAACTTTTTGTGACAAAAACATAACCCCTTAGTTGAATCAGGTGCTGTATTTCTTAATCAAATCAGAAGATCGGGGAACAAATCGAATCCCATGATAACAACGCGCTACCTTTCAGTGGCAAAATAGACCGATGATGGTCCATACCATGTGTGTTCTTTATCCCTGACACTCTTGGCCGAGAGCAAATACTAATATATACCACTAAATTTCCTTGCACCTAAGAAACAAAGTTGACAACAGGAGCTTAATTATTTATTGTATCTGAAATAACTATATTCTAAATACAAGTCGGGATATAACAAACCAAATAGACGAAAAACACATAAAAACCGATCGGGTCAATGCATGAGCACTTTAATATCGAGGGGTGATTAATGAGTTGGGCAGCTCGTTAGCAGTTCGAATTCGACTCGGTCAAAATTAGGTAAACACTCGACTCAAGTTGGCTCGACTCGGGCTTGAACTCAACTCGATAAGTTTGCGAGCAGCTCGTTAGTTTTTTAAAATATATTTTTAGTAATTACTTCAAAATTATTTCATTCAAAGAATAAATCTAAATAATAATTATTAAATTATTAATAATTAATAAAAATAATAATAACTTAGCTAATTGATCACTTGTAAATGTATATGTTAAGGCAAACAAATCTGTGCAATTATACACAATTGATGCAAGTAATATAGTATTGAGTGAGTATCGTCTCCACAGGGATTGGAAGGCTTTTAAAATATTGCTACAGCTAGGAATAGGTTCACTAACCAATCCTAAGTATATAAGTCTAATGATATAAACAAGGAAAATATGTAACGGCAAATGATATGAACATATGAAAAAAGTTTTGCCGAGGAAATAAAAATTGTAAAGTGAAGTAAGTAGAAAAGTTTTGTCGATACAAGAAAAATATGCAAAGGTAAACAAATAAAAGTTGTCATTGCTAAAGTTATCAAAACCCTGTAAATAGACTGACAACCTCACACAATCAGACTTCTAACGGAGTACTTAGATTGGTTTTGCTATGGCGAGAAGTTATTTTATGCTAAGAATGATTTGGTACGCTATGTTTAAGCTGGCCAACAGGATTACTAGAGTATTCAAGGACGGTTGCTATGGTAATACTACTCGGCGTGAGCAACAACCCTTGGTTTGTCAGATTGTTGCTGCGGCAATACCCCTCAGTGTGAACTATAGTCGTTGCCTATCCTACTCAAACGTTTATCCATTTTAGTCGATTGAAACCCTCTTCTTATCTTTAAGGTGGGTTAGAACATCACCATCCCGGATCTATTCCATTGTTCACGTAGATCTATCTTAATTCTCTATAATATAAGAATCAATTTATAGAAAAACGACAATCTCTCGAAAGCTCTTACAAGGTCTAGAAATGTTTCACCTATGCACCAGGCAATCTCTCGAAGCTCTTACAGTGTCAAGGCAAAAGGTTAAAACAGTGAACAAAACAACACTTAACAAAAACATACTTAATCATTCATTAACAATAAAATAAAATATCATCCAAGCATTCCCAACGCCAAATAAAACAGTTTATGGTGTGGTTAACGTCAACCCAAAAATATTAATTAAGTACAAGCCCTTAGAAAAATAAAACATGAAGAACAAGAGGAAGAAAAACTCCCAGAACAGAGCTCTGTCGTGACATCAAACCACCACCATGATTGCTCTAGCGCACCAGCCTCTATCGAGGACCTGTCCGCTGCTCCGATGAAGCTTGGCTATGGAGGGCACCAAGGATAGACGAGTGGGGGACGGTGGAAAAAAGGACACCACGACGACCTTTTTCCAAGCCTAGGGTATTTTCTCTATATGATTCTGAACACTTTATGAAGAGTTATAATGAGGTATTTATAGTGGAAATTTCTAGGGTTTAGTGCCTTTGAAAATTCCCTAAACACGCTTGAAGTTAAACCCTTTTTATGAATAACATAGCAGTTTGTGGTGGTCTCAAATTCCTTGATGAGGGCATGATTGCACGTGAGGTAGATTAGACAACTGGCCATGTGACATCAGTAATTTTGTCTCGTACTGTGTCAGTATGGCGAAATAAAACTCGCATTGGCAAGAAAATTTGTTCCTCACTGTCGTCGTCTTCTGTTCCACTAGCCCTAGCAAATTAATTTGTCTCGGCAAATAATTTTTTCCTCAATCATTTCCTGCATCATCACAATCAACAATCAACCTTTCTCACCAGCAACATCAGTTTAATCAAATAAACTTTGCCTCGGCAAAACTTATCCACTACATGAAAATATGTCATAAATATAACCATATGCAGCTAAAATGCTATGTCAATGACTTTTAGACAATCAATAACTTAGTAAAAAGACCTAAAATATAGTCTTTTTACGAAGTTATCACTAATCTATTATTTTTTAATAAATAATAAAATATTATTAATTAATAATATTATTTTCATACAAAAAAACAAACTCAACCCTAATATCCTCATATAGTATTAGTAAATTTTATTTTTACTTAAAAAAATAAGGTAAATTTTGTAATGAGCTTAACGAGCAATGAGTCGAGTTGAGCAGCAAATTTTTTAACGAGCACGAGTCGAACACAATTTTAACGAGCTTAAAGAGTAACGAATCGAGTCGAACAATAAAATTTTATAACGAGCACGAGTTGAGCACTATCCAACTCGCGATCGATTCGCTCGATAATCACCCCTACTCTGGACTTCTCCAAAAACTCAAGATGAATGTTATCACTTGTCAGAGTTATCAGGGCTTAACATACAAGACAACTTTGTCGAGGAATAAATTTAAAGAATCTTTGCTTGTATGGGCTCTTGAATTCAACTGAACCATAGCTTCTTATTTAAGCTTGCCTTCTTTTTCTTCCTTTTTGCTATTAATATCTACTTATAATGTTTTTTTATATGGAAATACAGGAAATTATATTAATCGAGGTTACCTTCATTAACAACATAAAAATACATATAAACTCGGAACATTCAAAAGTTCAACAAAGAATTGACGTGCTGCAACAAGATGGAAGCTGTCAATCGTGAGATCAATGTATGCCGAACAAAATTAGTTGCATTACTCTCAATGAGGGTGTCCGACTGTCCGTGGCAGAGAGAGACACTGTAAGACGGATCCCCGCTTCAAGTGCATGGGCCTCGACAGATCCGTCTATTAGCATATCTAATTTTGTGATGTATCACATAGTCTTCAAATATAGGGGCCTTACACTTTGAAAATATCTATTAATCTAAAAAATATATTTTCCTCACTATACGCAAGTGTGAAGAAAACTCAGTATTAAAAACTTAATTTTATATATTTAAAAAATTTTATTCTCTAAAAAATAATAATAATATGATAAATTTTTATATTTTATAATTCCATTTTATTATAAATTTTTTAAACATTTTATTTTAAAAAATAGTGCATAACCTCTACATCTTTTAAGACAGATATGAGCATCGACAATGATTAGATCCTTGAAATCAGCAATAACACACAAAATCTGCAATAAAAAATTGTTTTCGATGTTTGACTTCATTTATCGTATCTTTCTCTTTGTTTATTTAGTAAAAGAATAATTATTTATTCAATAAAAAATAATATATGAAAATGGTTTATTATTATTTATTTGATTTCTTAAAATATAACGTGAATCTTAAAATTTTAAAATTATAACTCACTTAGCATTTTGTTTGTGGTGAAAACAAATAATTCTCAAAGGCTATTTGTATGTAATGTATAACCAAGTTACGTAACCCATGCAGACTACAACGTTTTATCGGTTTATGTTACAATTTAAATACAAATAGAATACTAATAGATTAATTATAAAATTATGTAAACATTAATATTTTTAAAATATAAAATGAATATTTTTACTAGGACCAAATGTAGGCGTAAAATCTTTTATTAATCAAAATTAATTAGGTTGGACCATAAATGCTCATTGGTACCAACTACCAAGTTTCACTTTTTTTAAATCAAATTGCTCAATAATTTAAATTTAAAATAAACAATTTATTGATATTAATGATAAATGAAAATATATATCTCCTTAAAAGTTTCGAGTTTAAGTATTTTTTTAAAAAAAATTCTAACATATACAACTTCTTCGTCTCCTCCAACTATTAAAAAAATTAAATTAAAAAAATATTAAAATGTTTGAGTTAAACACAAAAGAACTCAAATCAGTCACATTTACTTGATAATATAATTCTTCTCTTATTGAGATTCCCTTATATAGTATAAAGTTTTTAATTTTATATAATTTTAAGATTGTTAGATGAATGAAAATAAACTATTGAGATTATCTTCTTGTTGTTTTCTTTTTTTTGTAATTATTTTTCATTTGTTACTATTAATCTTAGTTGTTTATTTTCCACTCATACAGTGATTTTTAAAAATTATAGAATGAAATTTTTAATATAAGAGTAAGTGGATTCTGACTTTATATATATAAATGATTAATTCAGGGTAAGTACAAGACAGTAGGTGTTCATAAATAACTTTATATTATTTAATTTTGAACGCTTATACCCATTGCATTTAATATGTGGTAAGTACAAAGTAATATATGTTCAAAGATAACTCTCAAATTATTTGACATTAAATACTCACATCTTATATAATTTTATGCTCAAACTCAAAATCTTAAAAATAATAATATTTTTTTTACCACCGAACTCGTAAGTTTTGTGCTAGGTACTAAATCTTCGCATTGATATAATCGGTAAGTAGGTAAGGTGAAGCC